TAAAATTTAAAAAGACAGAGGCCAGGTAGTGGTGGCACACGTCTTTAATCCCAGCACTCAGGAGGCAGAGACAGGCAGCTATCTGTGAGTTCAAGGCCAGCCTGGTCTACAGAGTGAATTCCAGGACAGCCTGGGCCACACAGATAAACCCTGTTTCATAAAAACAAACAAAAGACACATAGATGTTGGGTTTTTTGAGACAGGATCTATCTATGTAGCCCTGGCTGTTTTGGAATCACTATGTATAGAAAAAGGTGGCCTCGAACTTACAGAGACCCTCCTGCCTCTGACTCCCAAGTGCTGGGATTAAAGGTGTGCGCCACCACATCTTGACTAAAAGGAATCATTAAAAGGTGTGCAGGGGGCTGGAGATATGGCTCAGTGGTTAAGAGCATTGCCTGCTCTTCCAAAGGTTCTGAGTTCAATTCCCAGCAACCACATGGTGGCTCACAACCATCTGTAATGAGGTCTGGTGCCCTCTTCTGGTCTGCACGCATACACACAGACAGAATATTGTATACATAATAAATAAATAAATAAATAAATAAATAAATAAATAAATATTTTTTTAAAAAAAAAGGTGTACAGGGTGTCAGTCAACACAGCCTCACTTGAGCCCTCTGGCCTGCAGCATTTCCTTTCATCACGATGAGTGATAACACAGACTTGTCAGAAGTGAAGTCTGACAAATCAACATTGAAAACTAATCCGAGGAAGAAATAATTACTTTTCCCTCACATGAAACTGCAGTAGGAAGAAGAGAGATTAAACATAAAATCTTCTTTCTCCCAAGAGCCAAGTTTCAGCAGGGCCCAAGAGTCTTGTTTTTAAGCTAGTTTTTGTAAACCTGTACATTGTGGTGATTTAGGCATTTATTGATGGCTTCTCACCCGTTCTGCCTGCCTAAGGCGTCAGCAGTTACCAATAGTCTTTAAATTGGTTTTTTGTCAACTTCCCACTGGTGTGTAAATCCTAGTTAGCAACATCACCTGTTGGCCTTGGTGAGCGTCCTGCTTCGCTTCCTACAAAGCCATCTCAGTGGCTTCTACGATTGCTCATCACTAAGGTCACATTAAACACGACCCCACTCCCACGCCCTGCCCAAAGAAAAGATGTGAAATAAATGATGAGAACTGGAATTTCACTGAGTCCAAAGAGTCTCCAGGGATTTTTGGTTGGTTGGGTTTTTTGCTTTTTGCTGTGTATCCCCAGCTGTCCTGGAACTTGCTATTCAGACCAGACTGGCCTTGAACTCACAGAGATTTACCTGGCCTCTGCCTCGAAAGTGCTGGGATTTAAAGGATGTGCCAGCTGAGTCTCCACATTTTATAACCACCCTGGTGATTTCTGCTGCCTCTCAAAGGGACTGTGATACCAAAGGAATGTGATAGAGCTTGGTGGTGAGTGCCTGGAATTCTAGGACTTAGAAGGCTGACGCAGGATGATTGTGAGTTTCTGGCTAGCTTGCACTACATAACCAGACCCTGATTCAAAAGGGAAAAGGCACCAGTGTTGGACAAATTCATCCACAAAGTTTGTAGGCCATTTTTACTTTAGGAGGGAAAAAAATCAACCTGGAGACTGGAGAGATTATCCAGTGGTTAAGAGCACCTACCACAGAGAACCCGAGTTGGGTTCCTCATATCCACAAAGAGCAGCTTATAACTGCTCGTACCTCCAGCTCCAGGGTATCTGGCACTCCTCTCCTCTGTGGGCACCTGCACCCACAAGTGCACATGCACACACACACACACACACACACACACACACACACTTAAAATAATTTTTTTTTCAAGACAGGGTTTCTCTGTGTAACAGCTCTGGCTGTCCTGAAACTCACTCTGTAGATCAGGCTGGCTTCGAACTCAGAGATCCACCTGCCTCTGTTTCTTGAGTGCTGGGATTAAAGGCACATGCCACCACTGCCCAGTTTTAAAAAAAAATTAAAGAAACAGAAACACGTTTCTTAACAATATGGGGGCAGGGTGCTTGGCACACAGTATCATTTAACCTTTGCAATAACTCTATGATGTAAGTACTGCGACTATCTTCACTTTAGGGCTGATGGCCAAGTTACATAGATGTACAATGGAAGGGTTTATTTTCTGCTCAGGTCCAGTTGACTTAGATACCTAAGCACCATGCACTCCCAGTTTTTGCCGTGCATGCTCAACTGCCTCTACAGGGACAGGACAGTGCCTTGGTTACATCATGGCCAATCATGCTGTGTTAAAAGTTTCCTAATACCGACACTCATCCTGAAAAATATATATGTGACCTTCTCTTGCAGTGGACCCAACCAGACAAGTCAGACTTACAGAAAAATCCTGGGACTGGAGGTCGCTGGTACCCAGAGAGATGTATGCATTCATTCAATTTTTTAAAGATGTATTTAGTTTTATGTGGATTTGGTGTTTTGCCTACATGTATGCGGGGGTGCCATAGAAACTGGAATTATAGACAGTTGTGAGCTGCCATAGAGGTTCTAGGAATCGAACCCGGGTCCTCTAGGAGAGCAGCCATCTTTCCAGCCCTGCATTCATTCAGTTTTTCTTCTGTTTCTTTCAGTAACCTCCTGTAACTTTTCAGAGTACAGTACTTCACTGAACTTGGTTCCCAGCCTTGAAAGTTCTTTTTGAAGCTTTTACCAATGAAACTGCACTGGACCTCATTGAGCCCGTTGACTAGTCCTAATGTTTCCGTACACTTCCATTATTTTCTATATCTAATCATATCACCCGAAATTAAAGATAATTTTTACATTTCCCTTCCCAATCTGGGTGCCTTTTATTGCATTTTATAATTTTTTTCTTTCTTTCAGACAGGATCTCACTGTGCGGTTCTTGTTATCCCGGGACTCACTATGTATGTAAGGGCAGCCTCCAACTCATAAAGATCTGCTTGCCTCTGCCTCCTGAGTGCTAGGATTATAGGAGTGGGACAACATGCCAGGCTTGCATTGCAATTTTTTACATTAAAAATAGATTTATTGGGTGGGTAAGAGGCTGCCTGGGGACATCTGAGAAATTGAAACACAGGTAGGGTTTGGGAGTTATTTGACGGAGGTGATGGTTCCCCCAGATTTACAATACATTACACTCCTATAAATACAAGATTCCAGGCCCAAGAGGTCAAGAGGGGATCTTGATCTTACAGGACCTCTAGTATTAGTTTCCTTTTTACTATGACAAAATGCTGGCAGAAACTATTTAAGGGAGGGTGGGTACTTTGGTTCAAGGCAAAGAAGGCGTGACCATGGAGAGGCTCCACCTATGGCAACAGGAGCATGTGTCAGTATCTCTCTACTGCTCGTGGATCAGAAAGTAGAGAAGTCAGGCCAGCATCAGAAGCGGTGAGAATCTTCAAAGTCTTCCCACAGCCACTCACTCCTGCTAAGCACACCACATGTCCCAAGCTTTCATAACCTCCCCCAACCAACACTGATGGCTGAGGACCAAGTGCTCAGAACCATGAGCCTCTGGGGGATGTCTCACTCTTAATTCAATCCATAACACCTCTTTTTTAAAAACAGATGGATCCATCTGTATTGAGATACTTGCTTGGAACTCTCCACCTTAAGGGGGGGGGGGAGTCGCTCTTTTGTAGCCCAGACTAACCTTGAACTTCCCAACCACCCAAGTGCTGGGAGTGAAAGTACGAGCCACTACAACTGTCTTCCCGCTCTTGACTTGCTGTCAGAAGCCCGTTCCGAATGCATGACATCTGAGTAGATCAGCCCGAGAGAGTACTCACCATTCATTTCTCCGCTGTCATCATCAGAGAAGTGTTCCTGCAAATGTCCTCATTTAGCCATTCCTCACGATCATCTCAGTGCTTAGGATGAGCACAAGAAGATTGGGAATGGAGCTCAACCCAAAGTGCGCTTGCCTAGCAGGCACCAAGTCCGGGGTTTCATCTCTAGCACTGCGGAAAGTGGCTGTGGTGGTATATGCCTATAATCCCAGGACCTGGGAAGTGGAGGCAGGAAGATCTGAAGTTCAAAGCCATCCTCAGCCACATAGCTACTTCCAGGCCGGCCTGGGGCACGTGAACCGCTGTCTCTTGAAAATTAAAAATATAAAAATAAAGTCAACAAGTCTATAAAATACACACGAATGTCTTCTGGAAAAGAAGGAGCGGGGGAAGGAAATCCATGCTGGGCAGTATAGTTGGTTCCCCTAAGGAAATCTATATCTGAATCCCAGGAACCTGTGACTATGTGACCTTAAATGGCAGAAGGAAAATCAAGGTAGCAGATGGAAGTACATTGCTAGTCAGCTGGTATTAAAATAGATGTGTGAATTATCCAGACAGAATCAAGATAACCCCAAGTGGAAGACAAGAGACTGGAGAGAATATTCTGCAGGAAAGGGGCTTTGCACCAAGCCCTCTAATCCCCGGAACCCACAGAGTAGAAGGAAAACTGCCTCCCAGAGGCTGCATTTTGGCCTCCACACACTACTGTGCCTTGCATGCACATACACACACAATAAATAAATTTTACACGTTTGAAAGAATGTAAATGAAAAAGGAAGAGAGCGGGGCAAACAATAGAGAGAGGGTGACCTAGTACCCAAGACAGACAGAATGATGTAATGTAGATGGTTCTGAAGATGAGGAAGTGACTGCCAGCCAAAGCATGTGGGCAGCCTGCAGAAGCTGGAGGCTCAGCTAGAGCTGCCAGGAAGAACACAGGCCTGCAGAGTGCCAACGCGCTGAATTTTAGCCCGGTAAAGCCCACTTCAGGTTCTGACTGCCAGAAACGTAAAATGATGAATTTGTGTTGCTTTCAGCCACTATGTTTGTGGTCGTTTATAGTAGAAAAGTACGGAACAGGTCAGGTTGGGTCAAAGAACGCTTGCTTCGTTTATTTAACAAAATACTAAAAACTCTCCGAGAACAAAGCATTGCGTTGCCCATCTATGAGTGAAGATAATGGGTACTTCAGAAAGATGGAAAGAGGAGGTACCCAGGCTGGGACAAAGATGTGGGATTTTCAGTCCACTGTGGTCTTGAATATTGAGATTTCTCTTCGCTCTAAAATGTCTCTTTTTCGGCCGCGAATCATATGAAGGTCTGGTCCATTACTTCCCTCCTAGTCAGGGGGGTAGGGGGAGAAAGAGACTTCTGATGTCCCCCACACCCCTGAGATTTCTGGCCATTTCCTAAGGTTGCAAATGTGCACGGCATTGACAAATCTTAGTCAAGGCGATAAACTTCAAGCGGCCACAAGAGTGTGCCTGTGAGGAGCCCGCGGATTTTTTTTTTTTTTTTTTTTTTCCCCTGCCAAACCAGAATTAGCCGGTATAGGAATGAACCAGCGTGGAGCTCTGAAATTGCACGGATTGGAAGAAAGCTCAGGGTAGGCTCAGACCCTTTCAAATGCACCCTTTTTAAAGGCTACGGGACGGAAGCATCGAGCCTTAGGCTCCAGAGGTTCACCTGGCCAGACAGCGAGCAGAGGGCGAGTCCCGGAGCCCTGCACCGAGCGCACGGAGCCGGGCGGAGAGCCGAGCCCCAGGCGCCGCATCTGCAGGATGCTGGTCGATATTGCCACCAATCCCCACGCCCAGCGGCCTCGGGTTCTCGGAACAGTGCTGCAAGTTCACGGGTGGGGACCAGGAGCCGAGTGAGACGGTAGCCCTGCAGGCTGCGAGCGGTGAGTACCCTAGGGCTGTGCTGAGGCCAGAGATTGCCACAGGGTCGGAGCATCTCCGAACTGGCGGATACTGGCAGATACCGGTCGATACTGGTTGGTGTCCGCGGCTCCTCCAGGGACCCTCAACGGGGCGAGAGCCCGGGAAAGGGTGGGGGAAGAGAGGGACTTGGGCAGGGCGGTGGTACTCCCTCGTCCTCCAAACTGCAGGCGGGGACGCGCACCGTCCAGGGCGTCGCGCGCCACCCAGGCACCAGAGCGCGCGTCACCTCCGCGCCCGGCCTCGCGCTCAGGGGCTCTTGAGGCCCTAGTTTACTACTTGAAGTAGACTGTGATGGGGCTACAGCTATCGACCTCCGAGAGTGCGGGTGTCTCTGTGTCTGGTCCCCTAGTGGGGATGGAGGCTCGGAGGGTGTAGCATCTCGCGCGGGTGGACCTGGGCGGCGGATGCTGAGCCCCCGGGAGCTGCGAGGATCCGGCATCTTCAGAGAGGAAAGGGGATAGTGAAGATCCAGCACAGCCATTAAAGGGCAGAGGCTTCCACAGCCTGACAGGGTTTTTTGAGCTCATCTCTGCTTACCAATTAAGCCCTTTCTTCCTGCGGAAAAGTTGGTTCAGGCTCATTAGCAAGGATACTTGGAGGTGCTTATTAGCAATCAGAACGATTCTTCTTCTCCTGGTCAAAGGAAAAAGGGGAAGAAGAGAAGGGAGAAAGGGGAGGGGGTTGGAGAAGAGGTTGAGACTGATTATAGGTCTGTTCATATTTGAACTTCACAGGGCACCCATTAAACAACTGTCTCACTTTCAGGACTGGGGATGTAGTTCTGTTGATAGGGTGTCTGCCTAGCATGCATAAGGCTCCTGGGTTCAATTCCCCCAGCACTTCCTAAACCCAGCACTGTAATACAACACTCATCTGGCAGGGGGGGTGAGAAGTTCAAGGTCATCCTTCAATCTGAGGCCAGCCTGGGCTACCTGAGATCCGGTCAAACACACAGACGTTTCAGTTGTCTTAATCTGTAAAATGGGGTCATTTGGGACCTCCATACGAACCAGCCAAGACCATCGTGTCAAAAACCACAGAGCACAGCCCTGGCCCATTTTCTTACACGCGCGCGCACACGCACACACACACACACACACACACACACACACACACACACACACACACACACGCACGCACCCTTTACAACACAATATGAAGCCAGCTGAGCTGCCTCCTTTTCAGCTCAGGGGCCTCTTGGTCTCGAGCGCGCCCTCTACCGGCCTGAAATGCCCGGTGTTAAACTGTTTTAGACTAGGGTTAAAGAATTCAGCCTACCCCTTTGGGAAGAGATTGCAATTTTAGTTTTCACTTGTCACGCACCCCCTTTTGCTTATCATTATAATTAGTTCATCGAATTAGACATAGTGACAGCCCAATTAAAAAAATGAACAACCTGCTTGTAAAAATTCCTCCCATGACGGAACTGTAAAAAGTTAACCATATTTTACTATATGGTACGCTCCAGAAAAAAAAAGCTGACATTCTCACTTTCCCCATTACTCCATTGTGTAGCCTATATTTGTCACTTCAATGTCACTCCATCCTCATTTATGACTTTTATTTATTTACTCTTAAATTTTTTAAAGACCTTTCGCGTTTTTTAAATGTGTGTTGTATGTGCCTGCTTGTCTGTGTGTGCGCCATGTTCCTCTGAGGCCAGATGATGTCATCGAGTCCCAGGGAACTCCAGTCAGTTATGAGTCACACTATGTGGATCTTGGGAAGTAAGCCCTCTGCCAAAAAAACAAGTGCTTGTAACTGCTGAGCCATCTCTCCAGCTTCCCTTAAAAAAATGTATTTTATGTGTGTGATTATTTTGTCCACACGTATGTGTGTACTGTGTGCATGCAGTACTGGGTTGGGGTACAGACCAGAAAAAGGGCATCAAGCTAAATATCAAGACACAACCATCACCTTTGTATCAGGAACCCATTCCCAAGACAGCTAACCCACTCCAAGGACAGTGGCCTTAATCCATTCCTGAATTTGGGGCCCTGTGGCATATACCTATTAAAGGACCCACCTGTTACTATGGTTGCAGTAGCGGTTAGGTTTCAACATGAGCTTGGGAGGAAATAGTCAAATCGCACCAGAGTAAACACTTGTTTTCCTGTAGACTTCCAATTTAGTGAAATAGTCGGATAAGGAACTGTGAAACCAAGGAATGATCGCTCTTTGAAAGGTATAAGTTCAAAATGCAAATACTTGGTTTACTATTTGCTTGGTTCAGATTTTGTTGTTGTTGTTTCTGTGTTTGTTTTTCTTGAAAGGGGGATCTCTTGAGACCTAGGTTGTCCTCAAACTTGCTGTATAGTGAGGCTGGCCTTGAACTCCCGATCCTTCTGTTGCCACCGCCCACATGCTAGGGTTGCAGGCATGCACCATAATATTGTTCTGTTCCCCAGGCTTTTTGTTTTTTAAGACAAATACTGTGTACCCCAGGCTGGTCTCAAATTCCCTGCGATTGGCCTGTCTCAGCCTACCGTTTTCTGTAATTGCAGGCACGTTCCACCATACCTCTTCATGCATTCTTTCAGGGAGATCAGGCAGGGCCCCTGAGGTCTCAGTAAGCTATTTGCTCCACCTCCGTTCAACCAGAGTTGTCTGCATGCAATGCCATCTTCTGTCTTCACACTTGGGCCTCTTGCATAAAACTGTCCGTTACATGCTACTCACCAACATTCATGTATGATCAAAGAAACTGGAAATGCCCAGAGCAATTCCATGGCAGTCACATTGTTAACCCATAAAATAAATAATTCAGTAAGAATATAATGGTTCTTAACACTGCCACAGAAAAATACTTAATATTTCAGGTACTTTTCTGTGGATTGGAAAACTATCATTTTATTTTGTGTATGTACATGGCGGTGTTTATGTGCATGTGTGTGTAGATGTGTGCGCATTTTGTCATGGAGATCAAAAATCAATGTCACTGGGTGGTGGTGGCACATACCCTTAATCCCAGCACTAGGGAGGCAGAGGCAGGCAGATCTCCATGAGTTGGAGACCAGCCCCTGGTCTACAGAGTGAGTTCCAGGGCATCCAGAGCTACACAGAAAAACCCTGTCTCGGAAAAAAAAAAAATCACCGTCAAGTGTCTTGATTGATCTCCACCTTTTTGCGTACTTGTTATGTTTTTAGATGCTTTTATTTAAAAGAAATTCATTGTGTATGTACGCATGTGGGTCTGAATTCTGTGTACCATGTCTGCAGCACCTGCAGAGGCCAGAAGGCGGCACTGGATGCCCTGGAACTGGGGTTACAGGCAGTTGTAAGCTTCATGATGTGGGTCCTGCTGACTCAACGGAGGGTCTCTGGAAGAGCAGCCAGTCCTCCTAACCACTGACATCTGTCCAGCCCCTGGTTTTCCTCGTACTGGAGGGCAAACCCAGGGTTTCACTCATGCTGGGTCAGTGCACTACCGCTAAGCCACATCCCTTCTGTTCTAGCATAAATCAAAGTTGATTTCAATTTCAAAGGAAATAGTCAAAGGGAGCGAAACGTTTTTGTCTGTACCAACTGAAAATGCCACTCTCCAGATGAGCCTTTCACCACACAGCTTTGCTCTTTTCACTGCTTCTTGTTTTGTTTTTAAAGACAGGGTTTCTCTGTGTAGCTGTTTGCCTGTCTCCCGAGCACGGTATTCATTTGATGTTATTTTAGGTTCTCCGTGTCCATATTCAGTCTATATACCATGCTATATACCATGCTCCACCTGGACAGGCGCTGGGGTAGCAGGCATCCTGCTGGCTCCCGGATGCTCCCCGGCTCCAAGCCTGCAGTGGTGCCTGCGTCTCTTGACTTTAACCTCCCAACAGTCATTTCCACTTGCAGGCAACGGTTGCTTCTGTTATCCTAAACATTAGGATCCTTTACAATCTCCACACTCACCATTCTCAGATGGTGAGCTAACTCCCTAGTTCACCAAAGACATTAAACTATAGGGCTCAGCCAGGCAGTGCCTATTTAATCCCAGCACTCGGAAGGCAGGGGCAGGTGGATCTCTGTGAGTTCAAGACCAGCCTGGGCTACAAGAGCTAGTTCCAGGACAGGCTCCAAAGCTACAGGGAAACCCTGTCTCAAAAAAAAAAAAAAAAAAAAGCAAGCAAACTATCTACAGGGCTTGACTTGCCATCCCCACTATTTACTCAGAGAACAGATGTTATCAAGACTGGTCTGTCTTACCCATCACATCCAGGGCGCTCGCTCTCTCTCTCTCTCTCTCTCTCTCTCTCTCTCTCTCTCTCTCTTCTTTCATCCATCTCTCTCCCTACCCTCACTTCTCCCTTCCTTAACGTTATAATATTGTGAGGTGATTATAAAGACAAATTTTAGCCCAGGCTAGCCTCAAACCCGTGATCCTCCTGCCTCCACCTCCTTCAGCAAATCCCACTGGCATGTGTCACCACAACCGGCTAAAGACAGATTTTAAGGTGATCTGTGAAGAAGTAAAGTATGTCCCTAGACCTGCAGTGACAAAGACAAATCTGGGGATCATTTGACCCTAAAGCCACTTTGATGTCAGTAGGAGGCAGAGCTGTCCAAAGCTGAGGAAGGTGTTTTTCTGTTTTGGTGTGTGCTGAACTTACTTATTGTATGTTTCAGAAATCCCAGAAAATGTATGCAAGCCATGAGGATATTGGGTATGACCTTGAAGATGATCCCAAGGCTAAGAAGACCCTGAAGCCCCACCCAGACATCGATGGCGGGTGGGCCTGGATGATGATCCTTTCTTCCTTCTTTGTGCACATTCTCATCATGGGCTCACAGATGGCCTTGGGAGTCCTCAACGTGGAGTGGCTTGAAGAGTTCCACCAGAGCCGCGGCCTGACTGCCTGGGTCAGCTCCCTGAGCATGGGCATCACCTTGATCGTGGGTACGTTCGCTGCCACCTGTTGAGGTTGCTATAAAATGACAAGTCCCTGTTGAGAGTCATTCATCACATTCCTGAAACAGTGGGAGAGGTCAGATTATTATCATCACTCACTTTTAAAATCGAAGTGAAATATTCAGAACACAAAATTGACCATTTAGCTGTGTCTGTGTGTGTGTGTGTGTGTGTGTGTACTTGTCCCATGGCACTTGTGTAGATCAGAGGACCACTTGAAGAAGTTGATTCTCTCCTTCCACCACCTCAGTCCTGGGGGTGAAGTTCAGGTTGCCAGTACCGCCACCTGCTGAGCCCTCTCGCTGGCCTCAGCACCGATTCTGTGGCTGATGATTCATCTCCATCATTTCTGCTTGGTTAACACTTTCGCTGGAACTGACCTTAGCTCAGTGGTTCCTGAGTGTGCAACATTTCTGTTGTTTTGAGGCAGGGTTTTGTGTAGCCCAGGCTGAAAGTTAAGTATCTAGCCAAGGATGACCTGAACTTCGGATTCCCTTGTTCACTTTCCAGATGCTGGGATCAGAGACAGGCACGAGCCACCTCACCCAGTTTAGTTAGCATCCATGAGTGTCCTGGGGGCACTGGTGGGCATCAGGTCCGGGGCCTCAAACACACTAAGCAAGCACTGCATCTGCTACCCATTGATGATGAATAGTTTTAAAAGACAGAAGAGTAACCAGGCCTGTCCAGCTTTCTGTTGTAATGAAACTCATGGAAGAAAGGGTTTATCTTAGCTTACCATTTCAGAGGGATAAGAGTCCATCATGGCGGGGAGGGGTGGGCAGGACACAGTGGGTATGAGGGCAGGGAACAGGAAGTTGAGATCACGTCTCTGTGTGCCTGCCAGAAGCAAGGAAAGCAAGCTGGAAGTGGGGTGAGGCTATAGACCCCCAAAGGCATACATTCCCCCCAGTGACATACATCCTCCAGCAAGGTTCCACCTCCTAAAGGTTCCATAACCTCCCAAGTAGCACCATGAACCAGGGGTGATGCGCCTAAGGTGGGGGGGGGGTATCCTGTTCAGACCACCACAGAGGAGAATTAGGAGTTCAATTCGGCCTCAGATGCATAGCAAGTTCCAGAACAGCCTGCCATTCAGGAGACCCAAGGGCACACATATGCATGTGAAAAGATTGTTGGTAGCCAGGCAGTGGTGGAACTTGCTTTTAATCCCAGCACCAGGGAGGCAGAGGCAGACAGATGTCAAGGCCAGCCTGGTCTGAAAGCAAGTTCCAGGATAGGCAGGACTGTTATATAGAGAAACCCTGTCTCGAAAAACAAAAACAAACCAAAAATATTGACAAATATTTATGCCTTTATTGTCTTCTTCAGTTTGTCTTGATCTTACAACTAGGACAGGGCTGAGAGATGGCTCAGTGGTTATGAACACTGGCTCTTCCAGAGGGCCAAGGTTCAGCTCCCAGCACCTGTGTGGTGGCTCACAACCATCTGCTCCCAAGTCCAGTCATAATGAAATCACTGGGTCTGGGTTTTATTGTTCCTTTTGTCCCAAGAGTGTGGAGCAAGTGTTCTTTATTATTGTGTGTGTATGTGTGTGTGTATGAGAGAGAGAGAGAGAGAGAGAGAGAGAAAGAGAGAGAGAGAGAGAGAGAGAGAGAGAGAGAGAGAGAGAGAGAGAGAGAGAGACTGACTTGTGGAGTCGGTTCTTTTCATTTTGCTGGAATGGAAATTAGCTCTTGGTAACGCCTACCGGCCATTCACAAACAATGCTTAAGAAACAAAACTAAGCCAGAAAGTTTAGAGTGAAGTTCCCTCCCCAGACCTTTAGTGCTTGTATTTCCTAACTGCAGAGGGTTTACAGCATCTCCCATCTGACTTTGCTCATTAACAAACCATAACCGACTGAGGGACTCCTGTGCAAGCAGCCGCCACTTAACTAGGAAGCCAGACAGTTAGCCACTTAAGGCCATCAGCTGTTGTTCACTTAGTGCTCTTATCAGGACAGCAACTAATGCCATCCATCTGGTTTATAAAATTTTTCAGCTAGTAATAGTCACACTGACTTGTAGCACGCATAATAAAAACCCAGAGACAGAAATTGGGTTCAACGCAAAAACCAGAAAAGCAAGGCAGCCAAGCCAGTAGAGAAGTCTTACTCTACCAAAGTTGGAGGACCATAAACTAAGCCAACTAAGTAAATTGAGCCTCTCTGTCCTCCCATTTTATATTCCCGCTAGTGCTGGGGTTAAAGGTGTGAGGCACCTCCACCTGGATTTGTTTCTGCATTGGTCTTGTGGAGCCTAGAGGGGCCTTGATCTCACCAAGATCCATCTGATTCTGTCTCCAGAATCCTGGGATTAAAAGTGTGTGTCATCATTGCCTGACCTCTAGTGACGTTAGCTTTGACTCTGGTCCTCAAGCAAGATTTATTGATCAACATACAAATAATATACACGGCTTTCCTTTCTTTTTATTTTTCTCAAATGTCTTAGGATATTTCATAAGCAAGCATATCAGAAAAGTTTGCCTCTGAATCCTTTCTGTTCTGCAGGAAATAAACATACTACTGCGGCCTTCCAGTCTTTCATGTATTAAAGGGCTGTCAGCGGCAAAACTAGGAGTCACATGTGTTCCATTTGGGGTCACTTGGTCATCCGACTATGGCATGGCCAAGTGAGTATGAATGTATAACAATTAAAATGTGGGGTTGGTGAGGTGGCTAGTGGTTAAGAGCACTGGCTCCTCTTCCATAGGACCTGTAATTTAATTTGGTTTTCAATGTATATAAAGAAATATCTTCAAACTTATGCTATCTCAATTTCAGTTAATTTCAGTTACTCACAAGAATTCATCCAGATGCTCATAACAATGGGCTGATTTTATGTTATTTATATAATATACATATTCGATATATATCATTGCTATATAAAATGTATGATTATAAAATATATAAATATATTTAGTATGCAATAAGTCTATTATAATGAGTTAATTGTTGCCTTTAATGTCAGAATTTATTAAATAAGTCTTTACATTTACACTTTTCAAAGACACCAGACAAGGAGCTGAAGAGATGGCTGATGGGTTAGCACATTTGCTGCTCTTGCAGAGGATCTGGGTTCAGTCCCCAGAACCCATCTAAGGTGGCTCACAACTGTCGGTAGCTCCAGCTCCAGGAATAGCTGACATATCTGGCCTGCACAGGCACTGCACTCATGTGCACAGACCCATAATGCACAGACATACACATAATTAAAAACAAAATAATGAAGCTGCAGTGATGTCAGTGGTTAAGAGCATTGCTGCTCTTGCAGAGGACCTAGTTCAATTCCCAGCACCCACGAGTACCTCATAATCTAAAACTCTAGTTCCAGGGGATCTGACACCATCTGCCGGACTCTAAAGGCAACAGGCATGCCCACGGTGTACATACAAACATGCAAGCAAAACACACATACACATAAAGTAAATAAATACGTTTTTAAAATAAATCTTGCTAGGTGTCGTAGTACACCCCTTTAAGCCTAGCACTTGAGAGGCAGAGGCAGGTAGATCTCTGTGACTTCCAGGCCAACCTGGTCTACATAGCAAACTCTAGGCCAGCTGGGACTACATACTGAATAAATAAATACACAAAAATTTAAAAAGAAATCTTTGAACACATACACACACGGCAGATGAGGCTGGGTTGTGGCTGAATGGTAGGACACCTGCCCAGTACAATGCTCTCTTCATTATCAACTTGGCAGAATTGGAGTCACAGGAGAGAAACTTCTGTAGAGTTTCTGAGTTGATTTGACTGGAAAGGTAAGACCTACCCTAAATGTGGGTCTGGAGGAAGCTGATGGAGCACCAGCATCAGTCTTCCTCTGCTTCCTGATGACAGACACAGTGTGGCCAGGCTCTGTGGTGTCCTTGATAAAGGAGCCCCTTTAACCCTGGCCCAAACAAACCTTCCCTTAAGTTGTTTTTATCAGGACTGGTCTGGCGAAAGTAACAAACGCAGCCCTGCCCGTGGGAGACACCAGTTCCTTCTCCCGCACAGAAGCGACCTCGCAGGGAAATCTTGTTTTAGTTTGGGCTAAGCAGGGAAACTCTTAAGAGCTCGATTGCTTTATTTATCATTGTATGAGTGTGGGCACAAGTGTGCCCCAGCCTATGGGTAAGGGTCAGAGGGCAACTTCCGGAAACCGGCCCTCTCCCTTCCACTCTGAGTTCTAGGAAATGAACTCAGGTCACAAAGTGTCAAAAATGCACATGCTGGGGTCTGGGGGTGCAGTTCAGCGGTAGTGTGCCTTACCTAGCATGCACGGAGAGCCCTGGGGTCCATCCCCCAGCACCTAATAAACTAAGCATGGTGGCAGATGCCTGTTGTCCCAGCATTTGGGAGGTGGAGGTAGTGGGGGGGGGGATCAGAAGTTCAAGGTTATCCTTGGTTGTGTAGGCAATTCGAGGTCAGTTTGGGCTGCATGAAACCAAAACATTGCAGCCCTGTGATCTCAGAGAACTGGAAGAGAAAGCAGGGCCTAAGTGAGTTGAAAACAGACAGCAAGTCCTTTTAAATTCTGTTTTCATTGGGTGCTCTGTGATTGGCTGTAGATCATCTTCATGGGAATCGTTTCCGATGTTTCATTTAGAACTGAAGTCACGCTGGGCCTTTAATCCCAGCACTTGGGAGGCAGAGACAGGCAGACCTCTGTGAGTTTGAGGCCAGCCTGGTCTATAGAGCGAGTTCCAGGGCAGCCAGAGCTACACAGAAAAACCCTGTCTCAAAAAAAAAAAAAAAAGTGAACTGGAGCAAAGACCTCTGGTGTGGGTCAGTGAGTCGTTTCAGTGAACCCTTGGTACCAAGCCTAACAACCTGAGTTCCATTCCATAAACCCATATGGTAGAAGGAGAGAATTAACTCCCGTAAGTTGTCCTCCGACCTCCACTCCAACACCATGGCACATTCACCAACATCAACATGTATAAGCAAATGTCATAGGTGGAATTTAACCTCAAGAGGCAAGGGTAGAAATAGCGATCAGCCTGAGAAGGTGTGGCTAAGCCAGAGGGTCAGCATGACACCTAGTCATCTGGGGAGAGGTAGGAAATAGTCAGCCTTGCTACTGGATTTGTGTGTGTGTGTGTGTGTGTGTGTGTGTGTGTGTGTGTGTTTGTGTGTGGTTTCTCTTATTTTCAAGTGTTTGCTTATTCCACACATTTTCAAACTCTGTGTAAGGTCCAGAAAATGCATGCTAGGCAGGATCCTGTTAGAACATCAGCTGAAGGCTTCTGTTGTGGGCAGAATGAGGCTGACCACTGTGTCCACTCTAAAGCCGTATGTTCTCTGATGAGATTGTACACATCTGCAAAGTTTTTATACTTTAAGATTGTTGGGCACAATGGTCCTTGTGTCCACAGTTTGACAGGGAAGCCAGAATATTAATCACTCAGGGATGTCTCCTCAATGGATAATAAGTACTATATTACCTCTCCTCAATAAAATGACTGCATTCTGGACTGAAGACATGGCTCAGTGGTTAAGAGCACTGGCTGCTCTTCCAGAGGACCGGGGTTCAGTTCCCAGCAGCCGCATGGCAGCTTACAACTGAGTGTAAGTCCACTTTCAGGGGATCTAACACCCTCACACCAATGCCATTCAATAAAACAAAACCCTGTATTCTATACAAAAAGATAGAATGGATGTTGTTAATCACCTGATGACCTTTTTGCTACCTGTAGAGGTAGACCTCATCCAGACCCCCAGATTGATCACCCCAAGCTCTCACCCCAGACTTTTATCTTTAGCTTTCAGTCAACAGAGCCCATCCTTAGGCTGCTGACCTCTGTGCTGTCTTCATCAGAGACTGCACACCAGATCCCAGGCCTTTTAGCTGTAGAACCCACCTTCATGGTCACATGTTCTTTGTAAAGGAATGTCTATGTAGTCACACCTTAAGCTTTATTGTGCACCTGGAATCAGAATGACTGTAGCCTGGAAAAACATTTTCCAGACTCTATTGTGTTTAAATTACAATAAAAACCGGCTGGCATCAGACTTCCCAAAGTTTGATCCAGGTTGACCAAGTCGATCTGAACAAGCTTTTCATTCTTGCCTCTTTTCAGACCCCCATCATAAGATATTTTGGTTTTGCCTATGTTGTTAAAATTTATACTTATTTGCTTATTGAGCGTGCGTGTGTGGAGGTCAACAACCTGTGGGAGTCTGGTCTGTTTCTACCAAGCAGGTTCGAGGGCTCAGACTCAAGTTGCCAGCTTTGACCACAAGCCCCTTTCCCGCTGAGCCATCTCGCTAGTCCTGGTTTGGTTTTCTTTCAACAGCCCTGGTGATGTTTTACTCTTTAACTTTCTGTGGGGGGGACACTAAGACAAGGAGCCTCTAGTCAGTGCCTTTTCCACTGCTCTGTGGCAGGACCTTTCATCGGCTTGTTCATTAACACCTGTGGGTGCCGCCAGACAGCGATCATTGGAGGGCTGGTGAACTCCCTCGGCTGGGTGTTGAGCGCCTACGCGGCCAATGTGCAAACTCTCTTTGTTACCTTTGGAGTGGCAGCTGGTAAGCACGGTTTAACATGTTTGGTTTCAGTGTTCTGTGCATTCAGAGGATGAATTTAACTGTGGAGCAAAGAGGCCCATTGAGACATTCTGTTGATGGTCTAGAGAGATGACTCAGCAGTAAAGAGCACTTGTTCTTGCAGAGAACCCAGGTTCCATTTCCAGCATCCACATGGTAGCTCACAGCTATCTGTAACTCTTTTTGAGAGGATCTGATATCCTCTTCTGATCTCTATGGATAGCACACACACACTAGTTTACATACAGTTTTGCATTCATGCAAAGCACTCACACAAATAAAATAAACAAATCTAGAAAAAAAACTTTTAAAGCATTCTGTATCGTCTTAGAAGTGTGTGTGTGTGTGTATGTGTGTGTGCGCGCGCGCCATTCTGTCATCCTTTGCCTTATTGTTGGACACAGGGTCTCTCACTGTATCTAGGCTGTCAGCCAACAAGCCCCAGAGAGCCTCCTTCTCGTGACACCCCAACCACCACTAGTGTTACAGGTATGCAAAGCCACACCCAGCTTTTTACTTAGATGTTGTAGGTGTGAACTCAGATCCTTGTGTTTGCATAGCAAACCGTTTTATCCATCGACCCAAGAAACACTTTAATAGATGCTAAGTGTCCCTTACATGTGGGACACTCACTAGCAACTGTATTTGACTTCCCCCAAATAGAACAAAATCCAGACTTTAATGCCAGCTCCTATGTGCTAGGGTTTCTCCTTCGAAGAATGGGAAAGAGGGACAATGACACAAACTAAAGTGAGTAAACCAAGATGCTAGGGAAATGGGTGACATTCATTAGTAGCTCTCATTAATAACCACAGGACTAAATGTGACTGATGGGATAGTCATTATCGTTCAGCTTCGTTCAGATGAATGAATTAGCACAAGTCCCTGGCAGACAGAGATTCTCGGAAGCCAATCTAGCACACAGGCAGGGGATGGATTAAAACCAAACACCACGCAGAGTAATCTGCACTCTGCAAAATGTATTCGTAGCCATAATTTCCTTTCCCCACGGTTTGTGGGGTTCACACAGTGAGTAGCTATTTCCTCGAACCCTGTGCTCCCACCTGACTCTGTGGGAACAAAACTCTGATCTGTCTCCAAAAAAAAAAATGAATTATTGAATCAGAGTTGAAAGATATTTTGATTAAGACAGCAGATGTAGTGACACATACATTCATGGCATTTGAGAGTCAGAGGCAGGGGCATTACCAAAAGTTCAAGGTCAGTTTGGTCTACATAGAGAATTTCAGGTCATTCAGGCTATATAGTGAGACTCTTTCTCAGAAAAAGGAAGGAAGGAAGGAAGGAAGGAAGGAAGGAAGGAAGGAAGGAAGGAAGGAAGGAAGGAAGGAAATAGTGTTCAGGAGACAGACTGAAGAAGGATCTCTATTAGTTCAAAGCCCTGGTCCACAGACATTGAGACCCTGTCCCAAAATTCAAAAACAAAATCACAAGCAAAAGAAAAGATCCGAATGTGGTAGTACATAGCTATAATTCTAGCCCTGGGGAGGTGGAGAGAGGAAGACCCAGAAGGCAAAACCAGCCCCAGCGACATACATAGTGAGTCCCAGACCAGCCTGGGCTAGACAAGTCCCTGTGCAAACAAAGGTCAAAAAACAAAGCAACAAAAAGTTATTTTGGATGGGATACGGTGGTAAATAGCACATCTGGACACCTAACACTTGGGAGCTTCAGGCAAGGCAATAGAAAGGTTAAACTTTATATATATATATATAATGTATACAACATTTTGTCTGTGTGTATGCCTGCAGGCCAGAAGAGGGCACCAGACCCCATCACAGATGGTTGTGAGCCACCATGTGGTTGCTGGGACTTGAACTCAGGACCTTTGGAAGAGCAATCAATGCTCTTAACCTCTGAGCCATCTCTCCAGCCCCAGAAAGGTTAAACTTAGTCAGGACTCTGTCTTAAGACCTTACTTCAGAAAGCAATCAATGTAAAAACAAAAGGTTAATAAAGATTTATGTTTATTTATTTCTGTTAGGAGATGGGCCCTTTCGTATTCCCAGTCTGACCTTGAATTTACTAGTAGCAGAGAAGGACCTTGAACTTTTGATCCCTCCTGCCTCCACCTCTTGGGTGTTGGGATTGCAGCAATGAGCCCTCAGGCCTGGTTTAAGTGTTTCACTTTTTCTAGGAAAGCACTCTTACTACTGAGTGTCACCCATCTGTGTGCTCCTTTTGTAACCACTTAGTATTCATGTGACATTAGGCACACTAGACTCATCATGGAAGCTCCTTGTACCTCCGTTTCCTTATGTGTAAATCGGGGGTCTTCCTGTCACTAAATGATAGCTACGTACTGCCATATCTGGAGTACCAATCACAGTTTCCTGTTGAAATGATGGAAGTAATTCACAGAAAATGCTTAGCATGATGGTAGGTACTAAAGTGCTTGGTAAATGTTAGCTGACATATAAACTTGGTAGCATATGTGTAGCAAAAATATGACATAAACTCAAGTGTATCCCTTAAGACAAGAGGAATGAGACACTAAGACCTGATGCCAATGTGCTGACAAGATGGCACACAGGTGAAGGTACTTGCCTATGACAGGTACGAGCCTGGACAGCCTGAATGGCTCTTGGATCCCTAGGTGGAAGGAAAGAGTCAACTCCTAGAGCAAAGGTTCTCAGCCTTCCTAATTCTGTGACCCTTTAATACAGTTCCTCATGGTAGGGTGACCCCCAAACCATAAAATTGGTTTTGGTGCTTTGTAATTTTTGTACAAATTTGGTAATTTTTCTACTGTTATGAATTGAATCTGATATGCCACCTCTATGTAAAAGGGTCTTTAGGGCCTCAAGAGAATTGCGACCCACATGTTGAGAAACACTGTCCTAAACATTATCCTTTTACCTCCACATGCATATTGTTTGTATGTGTGTGTCTGCAGTCACACACATGTCATATACATAAAATAGCAATGGTGATAATAATAATGTTTAAATGATATTAGAAACTTTTTTGTTTGGTTTTGTTTTTTGAGACAGAGTTTCTCTGTGTAACAGGCCTGTCTATCCTGGAACTTACCCTGTAGATCAGGCTGCCCTCAAACTCACAGAGATCTGCCTTCCTGTGCCTCACAAGTGCTAGGATTAAAGGCATGCACCACCACCACTTAGCTAGGATCAGAATTTCAAGGCTATCCTGAACTACAAATTCCAGGTCAGTCTGGGCTATAAGAGACCCTGTCTAAAATAAGAAGACTTATTTTATGTCATCATCAAAATCCAAAGCATGACAGTATCACAGAACAAATCACCTAGGGTCTTTGTCTTAAATTCAACAAAATAAATTGCAAGAGGTCTTGGGGTGGGACTGTAAAAGACTTAAAATAGGCACCAACAAACAGTAATGTGTAAAACCCTTTTGGATCATGGTTTAAAAATACAAGTTTGGGGGGGGGTTGTTTTTTAAAAAGAATAGCCATTTATGAAACATTTGGAAGTTTGAGAGCCTTCTGGATATTTAGTGGTATCAAAAATTTATTTTTTCCAATGAGATAATGATATGAGAAGTATGCCACTTAAATGATTCCTACATTTGGAGATTTATACTAAAATATGCACACATGAGATAATGTATTCTTGATTTGCTTCAAAATAATTTGTGGTATTTACCAAGTTGGCTGCGAGTGGAGATTTGTTGAAGCTAAGTGATGGCACGAAAAGTCATTAAATCATCCTGTTTTTCAAAGCTTCCCAGAGTCTGATTTAAACTGTCCCATTAGAGCTGGAGAGATAGCTCAGCAGTTGAGAATGCTTGCTGCTCTTGCAGAGGACTGGAGTTCAGTTCCCACCACCCACACTGGGCAGCTCCCAACCAGTTATGGCACCTGCTCTGGGGACCCTGTGCCCTCTTCTGGCCTCCAAGAGCACCTGCACATGGACACACACACACACACATAGACACCCCCCCACCCAAGAAATCTATCTTGCAGGGCAGTGGTGGCGCATACCTTTAATTCCAGCACTCGGGAGTTAAAGACCAGCCTGGTCTACAAGAACTAGTTTCAGGACAGGCACCAAAGCTACACAGAGAAACCCTGTCTTGAAAAACAAACCAAAACAACAACAACAACAAAGAATCTTAAGATTATACTACCTATTGATGCAGTCATCCTAGATTTTGAGTTTTGTTTTTTGAGACAGCATCTCACTTAGGCCAGGCTATCCTCAAATTTGGTATCTAGCCAAGGATGACCTTAATACTTCTGCCTTTCCTCTCAGCTTGGGTATTAGTGGTGTGTGTCACCAAACCTGATTTATGTGGTGCTGGGACCAAATCCAAGGTCTCATGCACGCTGGACAATCACTTTTTGTAAGTATGATGTATGATGTCCAGACAACAGAACATCCTCATTATGTGTTTTTCAGTCACATCCCCTGTGGTTCATCCACTCTGGGCTCTTTTTAGAATAGCCATTGACACACCCACTGAAGAGTCTCCTTTATTTTTTTTTAAATATGCTTTATCTTTAGCATAGAAGTGCAAAGTTAATCTCATCTTTAAAAGATTTGTCTTGGGCAAGTGAGATGACTTAGCAGGCAGAGGTGCCACCAAGCCTGATGACCAAGTTACATCCCTGGTATCCACGTGATAGAAGGAGAGAACTAACCAACTACCTGAGACCAGGTGAGGGAAGGGGTAATAGGGTAGGAGAAGGGGCATGTAGGAGGAGACCACTTGTTGGTTCCCGGCTGCTTAATCCTGAAATAATCACACAGAAAACTGTGTTAATTAAATCACTGCATGGCCCATTAGCTCTACCTTCTTATTGGCTGACTCTTACATATTAATTTAACCCAGTTTTATTAATCTGTATATCACCACGTGGCTGTGGCTTACCAGCTAAAGTTCCATCTGGCTCTGGTGGGGCTACATGGCTTCTCTCTGCTTCCACTTCCTTTCTCCCAGCATTCACTTTAGTTCCCCCCCAGCCCACCCCCACTTAGCTTTGTTCTACCTTAGCAGGCCAAGACAGTTTCTTTATTCATTAACCAATAAAAGCAACACATAGACAGAAGGACCTCCCACACCAGGGCGCTTCCTTTCACAGCAGTGTGATCCAGGTAGTATTGCTAATGTCAGATGACCTGGGAGCTGAGGACATGAGTGCAGAGTCTGTCTGATGGTGACATTTTGTAGCCAGCTTCTGAAGGGGCAAGGTCTCCAGAACTAGAATTGCAGGTGATTGTGAGCCATCATGTGGATGCTGAGAAGCAAATCTGGGTCCTCCACAAGAGCAGCAAGTGCTCTTAACCATTGAGTCATATCTCCAGATTTTTTAAGTTTTATTTTATGTATATGAATGTTTTGCCTGCATGTGTGTATATGAATCACATGAGTATGTGGTGACTTCAGAGTTCAGAAGAGGAGATGGTCAGACCCACTAGAAATGGTTACAGCTGCCATGTGGGTTCCAGGAATTAACCCAGATTCTCTGCAATAGGAACAAATACTCCTAACCACTGAGCCGTCTCTCCAGCCCCTTTCCATGTGTGTGTGTGTGTGTGTGTGTGTGTGTGTGTGTGTGTGTGTTGTAGACAGAAGTTACTGTCCCACCCAGTCCCGCAGCCATTTGGTCCCAAATAAACACATAAAGGCTTATGGTGATTATAAACTGTTTGGCCTATTAGCTCAGGCTTATTACTAACTAGCTCTTATGATTTAAATTCACTCATAATTTTTGTCTATGTTTAGCCACGTGGCTTGGTACCTTTCAGTAAGGCAATCTCATCTTGCTTCCTCCACATCTAGCTGGTGACTGACTCTCTGATTTTCCTCTTCCCAGATTTTTCTACTCTGGTTGCCCTGCCTATACTTCCTACTTGGCTACTGGCCAATCAGCATTTTATTAAACCAATACGAGTGACAAATCCCTACAGAGTACAAACACATTATCCACAGCTCTGTGTGTGTGTGTGTGTGTGTGTGTCTGTGTCTATGTGTGTGTGTGTGTAACACAGTTCTTATGTGGGAAGGTTAGAAGACAACTTGAAGGATTCAGGTCTCTCCTTCCACCATGTATATCCTGGTGATCAAGCTTAGGTCCTCAGGTTGTCAAGCCCCTCCTTCCTGTCTTGCTAACCTCTGAGCTGTTTTTTATTTGTCTATTTTACATTCTAAGAAATTGTAGATTTCTATCTTTGTGATCATAAGCTTTATAAAGACTGTCCAGAGTTAGGCCCAAAGTTGAGGACTGTGTCTTCCCATCACTGACATTAGTAGGAGGCTCAGAGACAGTTACTGCTCTAGCTGGAGGCATGAACCTGGGAGAGTGGGAGACTAAAATAGACTGAAGTTTCATGGAATGGCCATCATTACTCAGGGTCTCAGACAGTTTATATTCTGAGAGTATTTTGAGGGTTAGGAATGTCATGTGAGCAATGCTCACTAGAGTCACTATATACAGTCACAAGGGCAACTTGTGCTTGGAAACTTTGTTCTGAATAACAATGGATAGAACGATGAGTGACCTAAAATAAACTTGTCCCTGTTAGTACACCTGGGAGGGGCACCAAAGCATATTCCAAGAACAACCCACTTTACGGAAGAACAGGGCTCTTGTCTTGTTTACTCACAAATTCTCAGAAATCCTCCCACAGTTTTATTCATGAACAGTGGTCCAGAGGATGACAAAGTTGTCACTTTCTTCTTCTGTTTGATTCTGCCTGAGTCAGGGCCTCGCTCCATAGGTGAGGCTGGCCTGGAGCTCACTGTGTTTTTAATCTTCTGATCTTACAGGACGGATCTTCTCCAATATTATTGGCAGAAACTACTGCAAAGCCCTAAAGGAAAATTGGCGGCTCCTCCCAGCTCCCCTCCTCTTTACATAATTATTATTCCTTCATTAGAATGGAAAAGATTAATGGTGTAGGGAGACAGAGGTGTAGCAGTTTAGACCTTATATGTCTCTGAAGGTTGTGTAGTAAGTAGTAAAGATGGGCTATTGAGAGATGGTAGGAAATTTAGGGAATGGGGCCTAATAGAAGGAATAGGTAATTGGGAATATGCTCTGCCCCACCCCCCACCCTGCTTCCAGCTTAAACAGGGTCTTGTGCATCCCATAATGGCCTCAAACTCACTGTGTAGCTGAGACTGGCCTTGAAGTTCTGATTCTCCTACCTCTGCTTGCTAAGTGTTAGGATTACAGTGTCAGTGACCCGTTTTATGTGGTGCTGGGTGGAAATTAATGCTTGCTAGGGCAAGCACTCCAGCAACAGCTAGATCCCTTGTCCTTGATTCCTCTTTTCCTTGTCTTCCCAGCAACCATGAGCTTTGCTCTGCCCCGTCTCTCTGCCCTGACGTGCCCCCAAAGCATCAGGAATTAAGGTCTCTAAAATCACTAGCCAAAGTAAACCTTCCTTCTTTTTAAGTTGATTGCCTCAAGTGTTTTTGCTACAGTCTGGACAGCTGCCTGACGCAGCAGCGGGTCTATGGATTCTGACTGTGCCTCCTGATTTTTTTCCCATCTCACCTGCAGGCCTCGGCAGCGGGATGGCCTACCTGCCTGCAGTGGTTATGGTGGGAAGGTACTTTCAGAAGAGGCGAGCCCTGGCCCAGGGCCTCAGTACCACAGGAACAGGATTTGGGACATTCTTAATGACCGTTTTGCTGAAATACCTGTGTGCAGAGTATGGCTGGAGGAACGCCATGTTCATCCAAGGCGCCGTGTCCTTGAACCTCTGTGTTTGTGGAGCGCTCATGAGGCCCCTCTCTCCTGGGAAGGTAGAAAACTGCCCAAGAGGGGAGGAGCCCTGTGCTGTCCCAGCTTACTCCACTGAATCTGTGAAATCAGGACCACTGGGTGTCACTGAAGAACTGGACAGACAGCCTGAGAACGAGGAAAACGTCTGTGACCTTCAAGCACAGGAATGTCAAGGTCAAACCCGGCCCAGGAAGAACGCGTGTGCTTTCCGGGTTCTGAAGACAGTGAGCCAGCTCACTGTGCAAGTCCGGAAGGGCTTTGGGGACTGGTACTCAGGCTATTTCGGAACAGCCTCACTCTTCACCAATCGCATGTTTGTAGCCTTTGTGTTCTGGGCTCTGTTTGCGTACAGCAGCTTCGTCATCCCCTTCATCCACCTGCCAGAAATTGTCAGCTTGTATAACCTGTCAGAACAAAACGACGTGTTCCCCCTGACCTCAATTATAGCAATAGTTCACATCTTCGGGAAGGTGATCCTGGGGGCGGTGGCTGACCTCCCCTGCATCAGCGTCTGGAACGTCTTCCTCATTGCTAATTTCACCCTTGTCTTCAGCATCTTCCTTCTGCCATTGATGCACACCTATGCAGGCCTGGCTGTCATTTGTGCCCTGATTGGGTTTTCCAGTGGGTATTTCTCCCTCATGCCTGTGGTGACGGAGGACCTGGTTGGCACTGAGCACTTGGCTAATGCCTATGGCATCATCATCTGTGCCAACGGCATCTCGGCTTTACTGGGACCACCATTTGCAGGTGAGTGCCCCCCAGGTACCCAGAGTTTAGAGCTCATGCGGGAGGGCAGGATGTGTCCCCGCCCCTTACAAAGTCCAACATCAGAGCTGGGTGTGGTGGCATATACTTGTCTCAGCTCTTGGGAAATTTAGGTAGAAAGAGCACTAGTAGTTAGAGGTCAGCCTAAGTTGTCTCAAAAAAACAAAAAAGTAAACAAAAAGGCCAGATGTGGGATTACACCTGTAATCCCAGTAATAAGGGGATTGAGGCAGAAGGACTGTTACAAATTCCAGGTCAACTTAGCTGCACGGTAAGACCCCATCCATCTCCAGAAATCAATGTCAGGGGCCTGTGACTCAGCCACCAAGCCTGATGAGCTGGGTCCAAGCCCCAGAACCCACATGGTAGAAGGAAAGGATAGAATCTTACAGATTTTTCTCTGATCTCCAGGTTTATACCATGGTGCAGACCCATATACATATACACACATTAAGTAAATAAAACTCCCGAGTCCTGGGATTAAAGGTGTGCACCCATACTGCCCAGCAAGAAAGAAGTTTCTGTAGGCGCCTACCCTTACTGCTGTGGGGACTCTAGGCTGGTGTCCCTCGCGTCTGAAGTGTCCTTTCTCTTTATATTCTTGCTTCCTCTCCTCCCACCGATTCAGACACTAAAGGTGAAGGACGTTCATTGGCTGCCTGCACAATGTGTAGTTGACTCTCCAGGCCAAGAAACTAAAGTCATAATGCGATGCAGGACCAGCATTCCGGGCATTATGGGGTCAGGGTGCCTGGCAATGGGATCAACTAAATAACCACATTCAGTTCTTGCTAGACATCCCAAATGGGTTTAAATGCAGCGGAGAAAATTATTTCTCCAATTACCTTATTTTTTTTTTTTGTAAGTGGTTTCAGAAACAAACGTGTTTCCCATTTTTCAGAGAGATTTCTACTCCCACTTACAAACCTGGTACAATTTAGTGCCACATTAGACACTCGAGTGTTTCCATTTAGGGAAAGCATGCAATTCAAAACATTACACAGACATTTGCAGCGGTCGGATTAATTAATCACCAGTAATTGATATTTAAACAATTTTAATAACAAAACCAGACTCACGAAACCAAGGTTCCAGCGGAGTAGCCAGCGGAAACAGGAGAGGGACCGGAAGGGAGCGTGCAGCACAATATATCAGTAAACATACGCCTGAGGGCAGCCCGCCCCCAAGGGGAGGGCTTATCCCTACAGACATTTCAACTGGGGCACTGAACAACACCAACTTCAGTCTAATGTATGTTATAACATTGCTGGGTGTTCACTTCTTTTTGTAAGATGCCATGGTAGTAGGTGAGTTTTCTAGATGTTTCCAGAATACTTTCTAACAAAATCTAGCCCTTCAGATTTGTCTGAGTAATCTACATGACTCACCTTCATTTGAATAAAATCTAGCCCCCTAACAAGCATTTTCGATATTGGCCAAAAGCTGGGAGCAATTTAACTGATGAGAAAGACACCTATGCTTCTCACTGGGCACACTCAAATGAAAAGGGAAGGCAGTTGAGTAGGGAACCAGGTTTCACTTCACAGCTGTGGCTTTGAGTTCATGGATGAAAGATTTGCAAAGGTCCCATGCTCCAAATCAAAGAACAGAGGTCACAAGCAGGTGCGATGGGGTGTGGAGGGTGAGGAAATCTCGCCCAGCCCCAGCTATAGGGGATTCACACGGCTGAAGATGTGGCACAGTGGCAGAGCACATCTCTGGCAAGCCTGAGACCCTCGCGTCCAGTCTCCAGGATGGGAGGGGGAGGCTAAAGAGATGGCTCGGTGATTAAGAGCACTTGCTGCTCCTCCAGAGTTTTAGTTCTCAGCACTCCAGCTCCAGAGAACCCGCGACCTCTTCTGGCCTCCATGGTATTGAACCCAAAGCCTCTTCATATCCTAAGCAAGTAAATGATCGCCATTGGGCTACATCACCAATCGCTTTTCATTTTTTCCTCTTGGGGACCGGGTCTCACTGTGAGGCTGGCTATAGCTTGCCAGTAATGTATTATGCCGACCAGCCTGGCCTCACCCGCAGAGATCTGCCTCGCTTCTGCTTTCCAAGTGCTGGATTAGAGGTATGGGGTGAGCTTGGCTAATTTTCACTCTGTAGCCCAGGTGGACCTTGAATTTACAGTCTTCCAGGAGCTGGGATGGCAGATCTGTTGTGCCCCAGATCCTGCCCTGGTCGTCTAACTTTCAGACTACAGTCGGTTCCCTCACCCACTCTGTTTCTAGGTAGATACAGACAGACCCCTCTACAGCCACAGCTTCACTTACTCAGGTGGTCGTTACTCCCAGGTGTCCCATCGGGAGCAGGTGTGACACTGACAGATGTTGGTGAGGGGTTGTTGAGACATCTGTGTTAGCTTTCAGACTCATCATTTTTGGATTTCTGTGTTTTAGATTGTGGATGGAGAAAGGATGGAGCAGTTTACTAAGCCACATCTAAAGAATATGGCCTTTATTTTTAAGCCCCTTTTTTGTTCTTGTTTATGTTTTGTTCTTTTGTTCTTTGTCCATTGGTTTTTGTTTTGTTTTTGAAACAGGCTCTCTTTGGACAGCTCTGGCTGGCCTGGAACTTGCTATGACTAAGCTAGCCTCAAGCTCACAGAGATCGCCTGCTTCTGCCACACCTGCTGGCTCTGATTTTTAAGTCAAATAACACATTTGATAGAGATGATGAGCTGGCTTAGTGGGTGAAGAGCTGAATGACCTGAGCTAGGTCCCTGGGACACCACAAAGGTGAACAGAGAGAACCAACCCCAAAGAGTTGTTCTGTGACCTCTACATAGTACATGAGTGCCATACGAAAAGTTCATACACTTACACAAAATAAATAAAATAAAAACAAAGGATAACAGCCAGGCGTGGTGGCGCACACCTTTAATTCCAGCTCTTGAGAGGCAGAGGCAGGTGGGTTTCTTTGAGTTCTAGGCCAGCCTGGTTTATGTAGTGAGTTCCAAAACTACATAGTAAGACCCTGTCTCAAGAACAAGCAAACAAAAAAAATTAAAGATTAAAAAAAAATACAGGGGGCTGGAAAGATGGCTCAGAGGTTAAGAGCACAGGCTCTAGAGGTCCTGAGTTCAATTCCCGCAAGCACGTGGTGGCTCACAACCATCTGTAATGAGATCTGATGTCCTCTTCTGGTGGGCAGGTATACATGCAGATAGAACATTGTATACATCATAAATAAATAAATCTTTAAAAAAATGTTTAAAAAAAAAAACCAATCCATAGTGAATTTGAGACCAGCCTTCAGTATAATAGATGAGATCTTGTATGGGAAAAAAAAAGTTCTGAGTGAGGCCTGACTGTGGCCGGTGGTGGCCACATGGGCAGTGCTCTGTGCTCCATCCTCAGCATCACAAAGAAAAATTAATAAATTAGAGGGGCAGTGTTGGGGACTGAACTTTGACTTTAATACATGCTAAGCAGGTGCTCTACCACTGAGCTGCATCCCCAACCCAAGCTCATTAAAAAAAAAAAAAATAGAGCCAACCTGATCTACAGATGGAGTTCCAGGATAGCCAGGATTATGCAAAGAAACTCTGTCTCAAAAAACAAAAACAAGCAAAAAAATTGAAGTAGCAATAAATGCCTGGTTTATATTTTTTAACTTTGTCTTAAATTGTGTTATACTGAATATATCTGTATTTCTTTGTTTTTGTAGGGTGGATCTTCGACATCACACAAAAATACGATTTTTCCTTTTATATATGTGGCCTGCTTTACATGGTAGGAATACTCTTTTTGCTCATTCAACCCTGTGTTCAGATGATAGAACAATCCAGAAGAAAGTACACAGACGGTGCACACGTTTAGTGTCGTGCAACAGTTCGTGTGGGTCCTCTCCTCATGCCTACCTCACCTGGTCGCTAGAGGAATGCTCTGTGTGGTGGCCGGCCGTGTCACTTTGTAAATGCCCTTGTCATTGTTTCATCTGTAAGCAGCATGGCCTCTCCTGAGGTGGTAGAAGTGATTAGAACTGCGTATGTTTTAGAGATGATGTTGCTTAGAGCTTATTCAATAGTTGATACAGATGCCCTGATGAAATCTTTCAAGCCAGGCGTGGTGGTAAATGCCAGTAATCCCAGCTCTAGGTGGAGGCAGGAGGATTGGAGGTTCAAGGTTAGCCTCTCTGCTACCTAGTGAGTTCCAGGCCAGCCTGGGCTACATGAGAACCTGTCTGGGAAAAAAAATAGAAAAAAGAAAAGAAAGGAAGGAAGGAATGAAGAAGAAAGTCCCCACCTATTTTTCTTCCTCCCTCCCTCTTGGCCTCCCTTCCTTCCTTTCTTCCTCTCCTCTCAGTCCACTGGGACTAGGGTTTTACATACAAAGACCGGAAATAAAAGCTTTGCAACGCAACCATTTCTTTGTAAGGGAAAACTCAAGAGTCTAGATTTCCACCAAAGGGTTCAGATAAATGGGCTTTGAGCATGAGACCATGACTGAGTATCATGAATTAATTCTTTCTTACAAGGAGTTATTGGTCTGCTAATATCATACAAAGGCAGGCTGTCATTTCAAAAGTAACATAATTAGTGGGCTGGAAAGGTGACTGGGAGGTTAAGAGCACTTGCTGCTCTTGGAAAGGACCAGAGTTCAGCTATGAGCACCCACATGTTGGCTCACAACCAGCTGTAGCTCCAGTCCCAGAGGCTCAGGTGCCCTCTTCTGGCCTCTGTGGTCACTGCACACATGTTGCACACATACATGGACTCAGACAAAACACCCATACACATAAAATACGAAAACAAATCTTTTATTAAAAAAGTAAGACAATTTAGTACAGTTAAAAAAACACAGTTTATATTTTTATGAAAGAATTCTGAAGCTAAGAAGTGCAGTTTCTAACTCTTCATTTAGGAAATGAAATTGGTCATCCTTCTCACTCAGTTTCTCATGTCATAGAAGATGAGTTCAGTTTATGAACTCAACACAAATCCTTCCCAAGTGGTCTATGAATAATGTCCTTAGTGGTATGTGTGTTTCTTAGTGCACATGCTATTGCATCAAGGGCTACAATTCAGACTCTTTGATTCATACTATTATTGTCTTAGAGTGAACACCTTTTTTTTTTTTTTTTTTTTTTAGAGCTGGGCAATGGTGGCACACTCCTTTAATTGCAGCACTCAGGAGTCAGAGACAGGCAGGTCTCTGTGAGTTTGAGGCCAGCCTGGTCTATAGAGAGAGTTCCAGGACAGCCATGGCTACATGGTGAAACCCTATTTTGGTTGTGAGGGGACAAAAACAAAAAAGAATCAAGCTGTGAGGATTATTTTTGGCTTGCCTTGTAGCTTTCCATGTACCTGACATTGGGGCAGTGGTGCCAACCAGCCCAGCTCTGGTGCCTCTTGCCATGTTATTATTATCCACTTGTCTAAACTTGGCACAATTTTAAAGATAGTTCTCTTTGTAGGTTTCATACATGAAGATGTCTAATCTGAGACATCATAAAATCAAATACTCTTCCTTAGCTGAGATATCTATTTTTCTAAAGCTAAAACGTTTTCAGACTACGGAATGTTCCTCCCAGGATCATTTTGAAATTTCTGACTGCCTTACTTATTTATACATACCTTTAATTAATGACTTAAGTGTGTGTACTGGCTGGTTTGGGGGGGTGTACCTCGGTGATAAAGAGCACTTGCCTAACATGTTCAAGACCCTCCCTAGGATTCACCTTCACACCATAAAGCAAGAAATTTGGACTCACAATTTGCTTATCAAACAAAACTGCCAGTGTCTTGGGTCAAATTTACCTAAAACGAATGCACCCCAGTCTCGGTTATCTTTGGTAATTAAAGACAGGAATGCTAGGAACTGGAGTTGCAGAGTGCTCCCAAGGTCTAACTTTCAGTCAGAATGCAAGGGGAGCGTCCCAGGCGTTAACAAGTAATTAAATGAACAGTTTCCTCGTGCCTCATCTCCACGGCCTCCTGTCCTAAGAACTAGTGGAAAGGGTTGTGTCGTGAAACCCACCCAGATAACACCAGTCGTGAGCAGACTGGCCCATAGAAAGGTGCCCGAAAGGCCCTGCTAATGCACACCCTTGCTATTCCCATCAATCTAACTTATCATCATTCTAACTTCCCAATGTGAGCATTGCCTGGAAGTTAGATTGAGGATAATTTAGATGCCGTGTTCCATTTGGCTTAACTCAAAGACAGGTTTGTGTGTTGTTTTGTTTTGTGTGAGACAGGATTTTACTATGTAGACCAGGCTGGCCTTGAAATCTTTAAGACTTGCCTTCCTCTGCCCCTCTGTCTCTACCTCCACCCCTGGCCAAAGACCTGTTTGTTATCATCATACCTATAGCACAACTTGATGTTTTAATAAAGGTAATATTAGCCAGGCATGGTGGTGCATACTTTTAATCCCAGCACTTGGGAGGCAGAGGCAGGAAGAGTTCAAGGCTAGCCTGGTCTACAGAGTGAGACTCTGTCTCAAAAATAAATAAATAACAATCTTTAAAACTGGAACAGTGATATTTATTTTCACGTTAAATACATACAAGCACACACATGCACGTGTGTATAGATATTTACCATACAATTAGGAATGGTTAAGCATGTTATGAGTTTTGAAACTACACTACTTCACTGCTCTCATCGTCTGTAGCGTCAGTTAACGGGAGGCAGTGGTCTGGCTGATCAGTGTACTGAATGGTGCTATGGTCCATGATTGAGGATCCTTGTATTGTTCGCTGTGCATCAGAGACACGGACTTTCTGCCCATTGACCCAGCTAGAACTGCACCCAGGTAGATTGCTCGCGGTCCTATTTGTGGATTTACTTGTACTTGAGGGTGCAGTGGCTTCTACTGAGTCAGAGGTCCCTGCAAAACTGAAGCAAGACCTGCTTGCTAAAACAACAACAACAAAACCCCGACTCCTATCTCTGCTCTCACCTGCAGTGTTCTGAAGATACTCTGCTGATTAATTGTGTGGTCACATCGTATGCTTTCTCGTTTACCCTTTGCATACCCAAGTGGTGTTTGTTTACCTGTAACTAAATAAATGTTGTCCTCTTTAAAGGTGGCCAGTGAGTTTTGTTTTTTGTTTATTTGGTTGGTTGGGGTTTTTTGTTGTTGTTGTTGTTGTTTTGTTTTTTGTTTGGTTTGTTTTTTTCAAGACAGGGTTTCTCTATAGCTTTGTAGCCTGTCAGGGGCAAGCAGATCTCTGTGAGTTTGAGGCCAGCCTGGTCTACGCAGTGAGTTCCCAGAGAGCCAGAGCTGTTACACAGAGAAACCCTGTACCCAAACAAACAAAAACCCCTGCTGCGAAGTGCTGCCTGGCTATATTCCCTTCAGAAAGCAGTGGTCCTCTCTTAAGAACTGATTGGTTTGTTAAAGAGTGGTAACATCCTCTGAGTAAGGGCTGCCTGCAGAATGTCTGGGCTCTCTCAACTACCCACCAGCGCCAGATCAGGGTTGTTTGTGTGATGGATGACACCTTGGGCCCACAAGGACAGTGACTGAATACAGACTCTGTTGGATGAACTGAGAGAACAGCTGTACTCTCCTGAGGTGCCTCCAAGGCACCTGCACCTCCAAGTACACCCAGCCACCCACAGATAATACAGCACATAATACAACACCAGGGGGGGGGGGGAATCAAAAGCTGAGCTGCTGTTTTGAAAGCCTAGATAGAATGGATATTTTAACAGCTGGGCTGTGGTGGCACACACCTTTAATCCCAGCACTCAGGAGGCGGAGGTGGGTGGATTTCTGGGTTCAAGGCCAGCCTCTTCTACAAAGCAAGTTCCACGACAGCCAGGGCTACGAGCGGAGCGGGAGAAGGAGAGATGATTTGGTGAAGAGGGTTTACCTGGCACACAGATCAGCACCTTATGAACTGGGCATGGTGGTGAAAGCCTGTAATCCCAGCAGCGGAGAGAGGGAAGCAAGAGGGTTAGAAGTTCAAAACTATCCATCCTAAAGGTCCGGCTTGGGATCCCTGTCTGATGATATACAAAAACACAAGCCTGGTAGTAACTCTTTATTGTTAGTTCATACACAACAAGCGCCTTTTCCCTCAGGAGCAGCAGGGGGTGGGGAAGGTGGTGGCCTGAGAGGCTTCCTGTCTTGTAGCCTTAGGTATGTGGGCCATGGGTTGGCCTGAGCAGGACAGGGGTGGTTTGCTCAAGCAAGGCACTGGGTGGATTTGTATGTGTGTTCAAAGTGGGATTTTCAGGTGATTCCTGGAATCGGCAATGGCTCTCATTAGGACAAGATCCGGGCCTGAAGAGAAGCACCGTGGCCCCTAAATACGCTTCTCCTTGTGCTTTCCGTGTCTCTGCTTCTTGCGGATCTGCCTCTGCAGCTGGATCTTGTTGGTGAAGAAGACCTGTCTCCAGCCCACATCCATCGCCAGGGCCCTCATGTCAGGGGTGATGGTGTCACAGGCCGACTGAACTATCTGCTCCCACAGTGAGTCAGACTTGCACAGCTGCGGGTGGAAAAAGCCAGAAGTGGATTAAGGCACACCATCCACTAGCTTATATCACATCCCATTGCTGTGGGATAATGCTCTTGTACACAGTAAGGATTTGTCACTCATATTGGTTTAATAAAATACTGATTGGCCAGTAGCCAGGCAGGAAGTAAAGGTGTGGCAACCAGACTAGGAGAATTCTGGAAGAGGAAAGGCAGAGACAGACACAGTAGCCATCCCGATACAGAGGAAGCAAGATGAGAGTGCCTCACTAGGAAAAGGTACCAAGCCACATGGCTAAACATAGATAAGAATTATGGGTTAATTTAAGTTGTAAGAGCTAGTTAATAATAAGCCTGAGCTAATAGGCCAAACAGTTTATAATTAATATAAGCCTCTGTATGTTTCTATGGGACTGAATGGCCGCAGGACCAGGCAGAACAAAAACCTCTGTCTACACTAGTTCACACTGTCACTATTAAAGGGATGCCTGCTGTCTGGGAGGTACTGTGTGATATCAGCAGCCACAAATGCTTGGCCTCCAGAAACTCTTTCTGTCAGAGAAGAGGCAAATACACAAGTATCTACAGATACCCAGAGGGTCAGTGGAACAAAACAAGACCTGCACTCAGTTAAGATGTGAAACCCAGGGGCTGGAGAGATGGCTCAGCAGTTAAGAGGACTAACTGCTCTTCCAGAGGACCTAGGTTCAATTCCCAGCACCCACATGGCAGCTCACAACTGTTACTCCAGTTCCAGATGATCCAACACCCTCACACAGGCATACATACAGGCAAAATACTGATCCACATAAAATTTTTAAAAAATTATTTCAAAAAAAATATGTGAAACCCAGTGCTTAGTTGGTAGAATGCTGGTTTGGTATGCATGAGGCTGGGGCTTTGGGCCCCAACACTGCATTATCTGTGGAGGTGCTTAGGAGGTGAAAGCAGGAGAATCCGAAGTGGAAGGCTTCTGCTGGCTGTTGAGGTGAAGTGTTGACTGCTCTCCTTCCCAACACGTCATGGTCAGTCTCTGAAGCATCAGAGGTGGCTGTACTAGCAATGTTACGCTCTAGGATGGTATGGGTGGATTCATTCAGAAGTCCAGGGTCATCCTCAGAGGCAGAGAATCCAAAGCCAACCTGAACTACATGAGATTGGGTCTTTACATGGCTGTTTTAAAGTACGATCTACATAGACAGCAATGGAACAGCCATTATGGGTCACATAAGCAGTGACACTGAGTCATGCATTTGGTCCCCTACATATTTGTAGGTGCATTGTTTGTTTTTAAACAGGGTCTCGCTACATAACCCTGCCTAGCCTAGAACTTGTTGATAGACCAGGCTGGCCTCAAACTCACAGAGATCTTCTTGCCTCTATTCCTGAGTGCTGGAATTAAAAATGTGTGACACCATCCATTTTTTTGAAGACAGAGTCTTGTGCAGGCAGATCTCTGAGAGTTTAAGGCCAGCCTGGACTACAGAGTGAGTTCCAGGACTGACTGGCTCCATAGCTACTGAGAAGCCCCTCTCTCGGAAAAAAAAAAAAAAAAAGACAGTGAACCCTTGGTCTCCACTTCTCAATAAATCCTACTTGAACCTCCAGAATACAGGCATGAGCCCCCACCCCCAGCCCCAAAACGCTTTTATGATTTACAAGTCATTCATTATCTTACCCAATTTTCAACATTCCTCTACTAGGGGTTACACATTCTAACTATGAATAGCAAAAGTCAAGTCTTCAAGTTTGAGGCTAGCCTGGTCTACAGAGCGTGTTCCAGGTCAACGAGGGCTGACCAGTCAGACTCTGTTTCAAGACACCACACACACATATTCTAGGTCCCCTCAGCATCCCCAAACCTGCCACAGAATGGGAGGCCTGACAATTGTGTGTTCACCTGTTCACCAGGTACATTACCTGTTTGTCAAGAGATGGGAATTCTCTTCAATGGGAGTTTGTGGATCAAGGAAAATAAATGTCCCTGTAGGCCAGTGAGATGGCTCAGCAGTTAAAATTGCTTGCCTGAAAAGCCCAAGGCTGGCTTTGATCCCTGGAATCCATGGTAGAAGGTGAGAAATGACCCTGGTGAAATGTCCTCTGACCTTTACATCTGTGTTGCAGCTGTACATAGCACACACACAAACACACACACACACACACACCTACACACAAACACATACACACACACCCCTATACACATACACACATAATTTAAAAGAAATAATAATTAAAAAATTAAAAATCTGCCTCCTCAGCTAAAATGTGAGAGTGAAGAGTCCTTTGTTTTGTTTGGGGATGTTTGTTTATTTGTTTGTTTATTTGTTTGTTACAGGGTCTCATTATATAGCCCTGGCTGTCCTGGAACTCACTATGTAGACCAGGCTGGACTCAAACTCACAGAGATCCTCCTGCCTCTGCCTCCCAGTTGTGAGACACCACACCCAGGTGTTGTTTTTTCCTGGGGCAGGTCTCATGTGCAAACAAACGTGCTTAGTAACCTCAGTTATTTCTAAGCCATAAAAAGCACGGTCACGGTCACATCCCAACCATCACTGTTCTTTTCCTGTGTGTCTGAACATCTCCTCTGTAAACACTTGGTCAATTCTGGTGCAGTTGGAAGGAGAAGGATAGCATGGACGTTCTGACTTAAGGCCAGTCAGCAGGCTGGTGACCCTGTGACTGCATATCTTGGTGAACTTCCTTCAGTTCAGGGCTGGCCCTCCATCTGACAAGTGTAGAACTCTGCCTTTCTGGCATCCAAGACCTGCAGGGTGCCCTCCAGTCAGCTAAGCTTGGAGGATGCATCTTCATTTGTTTACACCAAAAAAATCTAGCATTGAGTCCACCAGATCCTCAACTGAAAATCATTATTTCAAAAACAGAAACATATTGATATAGCCCCTGCTTTAAGATTATTTTTATAATGTTTTAAAAGTTTCTAAAAATGGGGGCTGGAGAGATGGCTCAGAGGTTAAGAGCTTTGCCTGCTCTTCCAACGGTCCTGAGTTCAATTCCCAGCAACCACATGGTGGCTCACAACCATTTGTGATGGGGTCTGGTGCCCTCTTCTGGCCTGCAGGTATATACACAGACAGAATATTATCTACATAATAAATAAATAAATAGATAAATAAATAAATAAATAAGTTTCTAAAAATGTATTTATATTTTAGGTATGTGTGCTCTGCATGTATATATCCCTGCAGGTCAGAAGAGGGCATCAGATCCTCTTATAGATGGTTGTGAGCCACCATGTGGTTGCTAGGAATTGAACTCAGGTCCTCTGGAAAAGCAGCCAGTGCTCTTATCTGCTGAGCCATCTCTCCAGCCCTAAGAATTACTTTTATTTTGTATCTGTGTGCATATGCTACTTGTGTGATGGTTTCTCAAAGGTCAGAAGGAGGTGCTGGATCTCCTGGAGCTGAAGCCTGGCAGTGGTGGTACACATATTTAATCCCAGCTCTTGGGAGGCATAGGCAGATGGATCTTTGAGTTCGAGGTCAGTCTGGAGAAAGTGAATTCCAGGACACAGAGAAACCCTGGTTTGGAAAACAAAACAAAAGGATTTGGAACTGGAGTTACAGGTAGTTGTGACATGAAAGCTGTACCCAAACAAGTCTTCTAGAAAAGCAGCAAGCCTTTATTTATTTATTTGTTTATGGTTTTTCGAGACAGGGTTTCTCTGTAGCTTTGGAGCCTGTCCGGCAACTAGCTCTTGTAGACCAAACTGGCCTCAAACTAACAGAAATCCGGCTGCTTCTGCCTCCCAGTGCTGGAATTAAAGGTGTGCACCACTACCACCAGGCTGCAGCAAGCCCTCTTAGCCACCAAGCCATCTCTCCAGCTCCAGACCCTTCTTTACTAAGGCATATCCTCTATAAAATAAAACGCCATACCCTTGGAGCTGACCCAGACTAGGCACTCTATCAGGGAAGACATACAAACTTACGTGATAAGAGTCTTCAGCTTGATAGGGATGAAAGTTAAGGAATGTAGAACACACTAGTACAAATGCCACCTGTGGGCCTCACTGTAGCTCTAACTAGCCAAGAGCTCGCTGTTTAGATGAGTGGTCTCAAGCTCACAGCTGTCCTCTTGCCTCGCCTCTCAAAGGCTGAAACAACAGGTGAGCCACCATACCTGGCTTCAGTGTGTACCTTTCAGTATATGTAAAGCCCTGGGTTCAACCCCTAGTGAACATGCACATGCAAAAACACAAGGATGTTAAGAGTGTGTGTGTGTGTGCGCGCGCGCGAGTGTGCAGGGGTACTTAAAAATCTGAGGAGCTGACAAAATGGCTAGGTAGGTGAAGGCATTTACTCCCAGACCTTAGAACTTGAGTTTGATTCCCCAGAACCCACAAAACCGAAGAGAATCAATTCTTATAGTTTGTCCACTGATCCCCTACACTAATGTTGTGGCACACAAATGTGTGTGAACACACACACAAATAAAGAAAATAAATGTAATTTTAAAAGATGTGCGTGATGGTGCAGACCTTTCATCCTAGCACTTGGGAGAAAGGTGCAGGCAGATCTCTGTGAGTTTGAGGTTAGCCTAATCTACATAAAGCCAAACAAAGCTCCATAATGAGACCCTGTCTCAAAAAAAAAAAAAGTTGAGGCTGTAACTCAGGTGGCAGAGTAGTTACCCAGGAGGCATTAGGCCCTAGAGTCAATCCACTACATTTCGTAAATTGGGTATGGTGGCATATGCCTGTACCCCCAGGACTTCTGAGGATCAGAAATTTAAGGTCATTCGTGGTTACCCCATGAGTTTTAAAAAGGGCTGAGGAGATGGCAAATTAGATAAAGGCACTTGCCACGCAAGCCTAGCAACCCAAGTTCAACCTCCAGGACACACATAAAGATGGAAGATGAGAACTGACCCCACAGCGTCGTCATCTGTCTCCATACACGCATCATGGCACGTGTACCCATGCACACACATGTACCCGTGTGCACACACCAACCACTAAGGACAGCATGACTCAGTGCAAGTTCAAAACTG